CTCCCCAGGAACTCGGTGCACCCGGGAGAGCTGGGGAATTCACCCTCCCAGCACTGGGCTGTGGTGTCAAAGGACCAGGGAAAATGGTGTTTGCATCATCACTGGGCAATTAATGGTAAAAGCCATCAATGGGAGAGTTAATGACATTCAAAGAATTAAATGTGTTGAAATTCTTCAGTTTAATGGATCCTTTCTTGATTAGTAGCATGTGGGAGTAATCTCAACTCTTTCTTTTCTTGCTTTAGAGTAAACAACATTAATGCATGTAGCAGGTGACAGTAAAATAATTCAGGAGACATTGTGGTGCTGCACTGATTCAGTAGGAAACGTTCAATATGTTAACGTTAAACACTTCAGGTTTGCTAAGCAGTGATAAAACACTGGTTATTCTCCTCATACAATCCCAGAGCAATGCAGTCCCTTTCACCAAAATTTTTCTTCTACATGTGGAAGAGGGCTGGGAGAAGAGACTGACCTGGCAGTTCCTCAGAAGGGACCCTGGTGCTGATGATTTCATTGCTGGTACCCAGAGCATCCCTGCATCCTGCACAGCCCCACACCTGCACCCCACACCTGCAGTCCCACAAGGGCATCCTCTCCTTGCTCTGCTTTCCTGCACACCCCAGAGGAGCTGCAGACCATTCCTCAACAACCCCCAAACTATTTTTAATAATATAATTAATTTTTTCGGTGTGGCACCAACACACACAGAGCTCTCAATTACATTTTAGCTGTCCCAGAAGGAAGCAGCTCTTTACTGGGGAAAGTGACTGACGCTGGTGCAGGATTATGGGTTTGCTCTTTGCATTCCAGGTATTCAAAGCCCGCTGAAAATAAAAACTGCTCAGCACACACTCCACAGCCGAGCTGAGCCTCGTGCATGGGGAAGCATTTCGGGAGAAGTTAAGTGTTTGAAGTAAAACTGTGCAGTCGTCTGGTAGAACAGAGACATGGAATTGTTATTTATCAAGATGAAGCTGGCATTTGGATAAAATTCTCCGGCGCTGTTAATAACTTCTGTTGACGAGGGAGCTGCGCGAGCGGCGCTGAGGCAGCTGTCCCCAGAGCTCGCAGGAGTGGGATTTTTCATGGGCTGCGAGCAAGGCAAGCGTGTGCCTGCTGTAATAACTTTCTGGGCGCCTCCGTCACAACGGCCACCACGAATTTATCTTTTTCTGCTCGCTCCCAGAGCTTTGTCAGTTTTGAGTAATTTGCTGTGAGTAGCAGCTGCTGGAGTGCCACATGGCCACGTGCGCCTCCGACATGAACTCCGGCTCCCCGAGCAGTTTTATCATCATGATTAAGTTTCTTAACTTGAATCAAGGATGTCTCTGGAGTTCCCTACCACGATGTGAACTTAAGATAAACAATGAGTGATGAATAGGCCAATTACTGAAGCCTCCCTCGCTGGAACCCTCGGCTGAGGCTGGCTGATAAGAGGAGGCACACGTCCTCTCATCTGGCAAATGTTACCCAAAACTGGACGGTTTGAAGTGAAGACAGTCCTGGCTAATCAGGTGCTGGCTAATGAGCACATTTCTTTTATGTGTGATTTTCCCTTTCTCTGTTTGCTGTCCATAATGCTGGAAGTGGAGAGGAGCTCTCAGCCTGAGCCACGTGCTGCCAATGCTGCACCACGGTACAAATCCCTGCCCTTGGCCCCAAATGCATCCCAGCACAAGGCACAAAAGCAGCAACCAAAAGTCCAGGGCTGTCTGGTGGTCCTGCACATCTCCTGGGCTAAGGAAGCCTTTCCTGAGAGACCCACCCAAAGAGAGGAGCAGCCATTCCCAAAGCAAAGGGATATGGACAGCACAGCTGAGGATGGAGGGAAGCGCGCCTTGGAGCAGGGCTGCAACACTCCAGCTGAGCTGTCAGCCAGCATTCAGCATTTGGGGCTGAAGCACCAAACAGAGCAAAGCAAGAGCATTTTCCCCACTGAGAGATCTCCAATGGCAGACAAGGCCGAGGGCTGCAGTGGAGGGGGCACAGAGGTCCCTGGGTGCTGTGGCTCTGGGCTGCTCCTCTGCCCCATCCAGGAGCAGCTGTCACCACTGCCAGCAGTGAGAGCTGCCTGGCACCACGTGCCACAGCAAGTGGTATGATTTACTTACTACCTATGGAATTGCCCAATTAATTCACTATCCACATTAATATTATGGCTCATTTTTAACTTTACTGTCTCCATCGTTCCAATTTAGTGCTGCTCAGAGATGCTGCCACTGACCTTAATGGGTTTTTCATTATAACAAAGAGCATGATATTAATCACGAGGGGCTTTCAGCTGGAGGCTGCTGCCCAAGCCCCACTGCTTTCAGGAGCTGCTTTTCAGTGGTTTGGGGACCTGTTTTATTTCTGCCAGGCTGCTCACCCCCGCTCACAGTGTGCACAATCCTTTGTGCTGTCCAGGAGGAATTTCTTGGTGTAACATTTCCAGGCACAGAGGTTTTATGCGGCAGTCAAGCCACACTGCAGATATGATAGATTTTTTTCTGGGCAAATTGGAACACAGAGTAGAAAACTGAAAGGATGCACCAGTCATAGCCAATGAGCCTCTTATTGTCCTGAATAAAAATCAAATGCCTTTTAATCATTTCAAATGTTCTTCTGGGTATCAATTAGTCACACATTAATATCAGTATTGCTTCTCTTCCCCAGTTCACATCAGATTAAATTCTCCCCTGTCATATACACTCGCTCTCATTAGCTTCATGGAAAATTAGTAATTGTTCCCTCTCCATTGGCATTGATGGGAGATCTTCATCAGAACTGCTTTTTATACAGAGGACCTGCTTGTCATCCTAAGGACATTAAGAGGTTTTTCCCCAAATTTATTGTCTTTTCATTAAAAATCCGTTTATTTTTTTTCACTCTGAAATCCTGAAGTCTGAGACAGAGCATTAGGGAATGGGAAAAAAAACCCCAACATTTTTGTGAGAGCCCTCCTGCAGTTTGTGCCCCTCTGTGCATCCCAGCCACGTCTCCTTGTCAGGATGGGGGGACACCACGGGTTGCACAGGGGTTTGCTGCTCCAAATCCCCCAGTGCCAGGCTGGCTATTCAGAACACTCCCTGAGCAGAGCAGCAGCGTGGAGGGCTCAGATCCTGCTCCCTGCCCTCTGTGGGGCAGTCGTGCCCAACACTGCCAGTGCTGCAAGGGGCCTGTGACATTTATTGAGCTTTATTAACTCCCAGCCCTGGGAGCTCCTCACCTCTTGCAGCTAATTCAGACGCCCGACTCCTGATGGAGTTGCAGTGATTGCCATTAAAAAGCTTGACATTTACCTTACAACAGTAATAAAATAATAATGCCTAATTTGGTTTATGAGTGGTATTTGCAGTGTTTCCTGTGCCTTGAGTGGGGGATATGGTGAAGATCTGCTGATCAATTATGTCTGCTAAGCAGCACTGCTGTAATTCTTTCCTGTAATCAGAACCATCTTTCAGCAGAGCTGCTCCAAAGTTTTCCTCTGAAACTCTAATTTTGACAAGAAAAGAAAATGTTTTCAAATACTTGAGTTTCCAGTGAATAACAAAAGCTTCCGAGATGGAACTTTCTGGTGGGAAGTGGAGACAGACAAGCCTGGTGCCTGCACAGATTTGCTGCATTTGGATTTCCAGAGCCCCTCAGATGTTTTCAAAGGCTGCCTGCGATTGCTTTCCATTAAAAAGGGTTTTATTTTTTTCTCCTCCAAATAACCTTGTCAGTATGATTCCCTTCTCTTATTGCCATCTCAAATATCAACCCCCCCCAGTGTGTTTTACAGCCCTGCCCTGCTCAGGGGCTGTGGGGTGAGTGAGCAGATCCTGCTGCTGTGGGGCCAGGGAGCCCAAACCCCTTTGCAGGGAGCAGATCCACACCAGGGCAGCCCCAGCACGCACACATGGGCACAGTGCTCTCCCCAGGCTGTTCAGCATCTCCGCTCCTGTCCCTCCAGGATTTACCCCTGCTTGCAGGCAGCAACATCCCAGGGCTCACAAAGCCAGTGCCAGACCTGCTAAAAGCAATTTCTTTCTCCATTTCTCATCCTGAGCAAAATTCGATGTGGATTTTCTTTTTTCAGTGCAATTTTAATTAGTGCATGATGCACTTTGGGTTTTTATTAGAGTAAACAGCTTGGAAAAAAAGTCCATGCCAGCTCTTCTACACCAGGGAGCCTCATCCTGTTCAGACCAGAAACCTCACGCTGGATTTCTGAAAGCCTTTCTTAAGATGGGTTCATTTCCATGAAGAAACGCTACCATTTCAACAAATGGAAATTTTTGAACGTAGAAAAAAAAAAAAAAAAAATTAGGAAATTCCTGGCTAGGCCAACTTTGGGGTGGGGCCGTGCATGAGAGGGAGAGCTGAGGGCTCTCCACACACGTGGGCTGCACACATGGCAGACATGGGCACAGTGCATGGCCAGGCACACCCTGCTCAGGTGGGCACAGTGCATGGCCGTGGGCACAGTGCATGGCCATGCACACCTCGCTCACCTGGCTGCATGTATTACACACTCACCTGTGTGCACACACTGTCTCCTGCCATGTCTGTGTCCCCCTGTCATGCCATGTCCCCTGCCATCCTGTGCCCCCTGTCATGCCATGTCCCCTGCCATGCCCATATCCCCTGCAATCCCGTGTCCCCCTGCCGTGCCAGTGTCTCCCTGCCAAGTCTGTCCCCCTGCCATCCCATGTCCCCTGCCATTCAGGGACCCCACTGGCATCTCCCGGGCTGTTCCCCCACACTCAAGGACAGTGCAGCAGTGTCCCTGTCCCCAGGCTCATGGGGCACTGTCAGTCTGGGCACCTCCAGCCATTGGCACAAGGGCCAGGCTGGGGCAGCAGCATCACAGATCACAGCAGAAGCGTGGTCCCGGCCGTGTGACAGCCCTCACACCGCGGGCCGGCAGCGCTGGGGACAGCTGCTGTTTTCGGTGTCTGTCCCTGCCGGGGGGTGCCCGTGGCCCTGCCTTCCCCGCGAGTGCAGCCCAGCTCGGTGACTCCCCCTCGGGCGGGCCGGCCGCTCGCACACGGAGCGCACACGCCATGGGAGGGACGGCGGGGCGCAGCCCGGAGCGCTGCCGCTTTTTGGACGTGAGTGCACGGCCGGCCTGTGCCCGGTCCCCGCACGGCCCGAGGGTGCTGTCCCTCCTGCGGGACCCTCGGCACAGCCCGGCCATCGCCGCTTTCCCTTCCGCAGGCAGAAGCGGCCAAGGCGCGGGAGAAGGGCTGCCCCAGGTACCAGCTCTGCGGACTGCTCTTCAGCCTGCTGCTCCTCTCCCTCATCCTGATATTTTTTGGTGTCAGGTACCTCTGGAACCCAGCGCCCAGAAAAGTAAGTAAAAACTCTTTGATCCGGCGTTTCAGAGCGTCGCTGCCCCAGACAGAGCTGTCCCCCTCCCCTCGGCTCGCTGAAACTTTTAACAACTCTCCAAAACCCAGGCAACTTCGCAAAATGCATTTTCTCAGACCACAGGTATTCGTGGGACTTTAAAAAATCTTTGTATTATTCATAACTAGCTTTTACTTTGTGCAGGCTGGTTTTCTCCCCCGTCACCGCGCTCTTTCCCCAGTTGACAATTACAGGGGATGGGAGCTACGCCATGAAGAGTTAAAGTTTCTCTTATTTCACCGGCAGCAAATTTTATGACAAGTAAGAAAATATTTTCCATTTCATTTCAATTATCTTGCCAGAAACCGGTGGAAAAGTCATTATGCCACCGCATAAAGAGGAGAGAAAGCCAGGACGCAGCGGTGATTGATTGTCATGGATTATATTTCTTACTTTAATGTGTCTGCAATGTGAGGGACGGTGAGACGGATTAGCTTCTGCAGGAGCCCGTGCTAACAGGATTGGGCTCCTTTATCCCCAGCTGCAGCCCAGCGCTGTGTGAGTGCTCTGTCGGGGCGGCAGCAGGGCTGTGCCTCCCCAGCCGTCTCTGCCCGCTGCTGCCCGGCATCCTGGCACTGCTGCCGGAACCCTTTTATCCCTCAGCCCAAGGGAACCCTTTAACCTTGAAACCCACAGCCTGCCTGCTGCCCCTCATCCTCCCTTCCTTCCTTCGAATCTCCCTGCTCATCCCGGAGGCCCCGCTTTGCACCCCATCACCACTGGGGTTTGCTGGCTCCAAATTCCTGAGCACAGACAGCCCAGGCAGCCTCTTTCCCACGCTGGCATCTCCGCTCTGCTCCCTGCACTGTCCTGGAGCCGCTCCAGCCGGGCCAGGCCGCCCTCCTGCCGGGCAAAGGAAGCACCCTGCTCGCTGGAAACTTTATCTTCTTATCAGCAAATAGAAATAAATACCCCCTGAAAGAAAAGGAAAGACAATAAAAGCCATATGTTCCTCCAGAATCCTGCCAAGACGATTATAAAGTCTCTACTGTTCCTAGAAAAACAGGGGTCATGCCAGCCGTGAGGGGAAGAGGCTGTTAACCCCTGCAGGGGCGGTTTTCTCCAAGCAGAGACAATGCCACAGCCTCAGCAGGGACATCCAGAGCCCTGGGTGTCCTCACCGGCGGAGGATGGAGTCCATGCAGCACTCCCCAACAGCAGATGGGCAGGGAAGCAGGTGTGAGGTCAGGAGAGAGCAGAGCTGCTCCTGCAGCAGAGATGCACGGGCACTCCCAGAGCCCAGCACTGCCCCGTCCCTGTGGCTTCCCCTGCTGGCCCAGGAGTCCTCAGGACAAACAGGCTGGAGGGGGCTGGAAGTTGGTAACGCTCAAAGACATCAGCCAAGAGAAATTAAACTCTTTAAAGAACATGAAACCCTTCAAGCTTCCTTCACGTAACTGGAGAGTGGAAAAAAGCTTGAAAGAAGAGTTGTCCCTCTGAGGGGTGGCCTTGGACACGGCTCTGCCCTCTGCACAGCAGCGTCCTGGCTAGCCAGCAGAGCTGATGATTCAGCTAACGAGGGGCTCATCACAGCCTCGCAGAGGGACATATTTCAACCATTCAGCAGCAAGTGTCATCTTTAGCCCTATAAAACATCTCACAGCTCTCTGAGCAGCGCAGGGCTGGCAAAGCCCAAGTGGCTTAGCTGGCTGCTGTGCTGGCCAAAGTCATTCTCTGTAAATGGAGAGGCACTTGAAGGTAAGGTGCCACCCGGGATCCTGCCCTCCTTGAAGTGATTTACGGCACTGTGTGCATTTTGTCAGTCAAAACCAGCGGCCTTCCACCCATTTTAGGCTTCAGACTGTTTTACCATATCATGAAATCCATAGAGAGCTGTATGTCTTTACCAAGTCCTCCTGCAGACCATCAGGAGATGTCCATGGCTGCCAAGGCACACATCTCTCCTCTAACCTCTGAGCAGGGCTGAATGTTCCCATCAGTTCCCATCTGCACAGGCAGTTCTGCACCCAGGTGGGGGCCAAACAGGGGGTACCAATGCTGGGAGCACTGCTGAGGGGCTCTGAACCCCGAGGGGAGGGATGTGCAGCACCAGGGACTGTGAACGGGGGCTGGCGCTGAGGGCAGAGCTCCTGCCCCTCACCAGTGGGGCCAGCACGTTCCTGACTGGTTCATGGCCATGGGATGAACAAGGGCTCTCCCATCACTGTGCGTCCATCTCCTGCCCTGGTTCATGGCCATGGGATGAACAGGGCTCTCCTATTGCTGTGTCTCCATCTCTGCTCCATCTCTGTTCCATCTCCTGCCCTGGTTCATGGCCATGCCATGGGATGAATTGAGCTCTCCCATCACTGTTTCTCCATCTCCTGCCCTGGCTCATGGCCATGCCCTGGGATGAACAGGGCTCTCCCATCGCTGTGTCTCCATCTCTGCTCCATCTCTTCTCCCTGCCCCGCGGGCTTGAGGAGATTTGCAGAATCCCTTTTACTTCCCCGCGGCACCGTTCGCTCTGGGAAACGAGGCTCCCCAGGGCCAGCAGGATCGTTTTTTCTCAGGATCGTTTTTGCTTCAAAGAGCATCTGCCACTCCTCATCCTGGCAGGGTCAGGCATCCGCAGGGACCGAGGGCTGCCGAGTGCGAGCGGGAGCGGGAGAGGAGAGCGCTGCTGCCGCTGCTGCCGCCGCCTCCGGTGCGGCTCCCCGGGGATGCGCCCGCCGGGCAGCCGGCTGCCAACGCCCCGCAGCGCTGCAGCAGCCCTCGAGGAGGTCTTTGATCCGCAGGCAGTCCTTGATCTCCTCCAGGCAGAGAGAGGCTCTTCCCTCTGCCTTTCGGGAGAAGCAGGAGGCACAGAGGTGGAGCGGGTGAGCTGGGGAGGACGCGGTGCAGCAGGCGAGCCGGGGACACCGTGATGGAGCAGAGCAGCCAGGGATGCAGGGGCAACAAGCAGACCAGGCAGAAGGAGGACAAAATACCTGTGGATTCGGGAATTCAGGCCAGCCTGGGCTGTAACCCAGCTCATGCCACAGACAGCACCAGCCAAGGCTGAGCTGGGGCAGAGCTCCTGCTGCAGGTGTGTGAGGAGCATCTCCTCCCAGGTCTGACACACATCCCAGGCCTGACACACATTACACCCCTCGTCCTGGCTGCAGCCTGGCCTTTCACCCAGCCCAGGCCCTGCCTGGGAGCTGCCTCCCCTCGTGCTGTCCTGGTGATTGCTCTGGCTTGCAGCTGGGCTTGAGGGAGCAGCCAGAGCCATGGTCACACGCCCAGCACAGCCTGCCCACCCACTGGACAGCCTGTGAAACCAGACCCCTGTGTGGCTTTGGCCTCCAGGTCTATGACATGGAGCACACGTTCTTCAGCAACGGTGAGAAGAAGAAGATTGTGATGGAGATCGACCCCCTGGCCAGGACAGAGACCTTCAGCAGCGGGAATGGCAGCGAGGAGATCCTGGAGATCCATGACTTCAAAAACGTGAGTGTGGCAGCTTGTCCCTGAGGCCCTGCAGTCCTGCAGCAGGACTGATGGGTCCTGCAGGACACTGTGAAGCCCCTGCAGCAAGTCCCAGGACTATTTGTTCCTGCAGCAGGGAGAGCAAGACCCAGACATGCTGGGGATGCTCTCAAAGGAAAGGAGATGTGCTATCTACATGAGCTTCCACCTGTATTTAATAGTGGTGTGCTTCAGTTCCAATGAAATACATCTTGGAAGCAGAACCAGTTATTGGATTTACCCTTGCAAAGGAAGGCAATGATCATCAGTCTATCTGAGCCCAGTGCATTTGTCTGTCTGGAGAGCATTAAAACCTCATGACACTGAAGAAGGCTCTCTGTGAAACCTAATTAAAATTTGTAGGGAAATACCCTGTGCAGTGACATATGGCAGAATTTTGAGCTAATAACCTAGCAGGAACTGGGGGCTGAATGTTCATATAACCATAACGGTCAGATGCTATTCTGCATATTTTTATTTATTATAATGAGAGCTCATGATAGTTATCAGGAGAAGAGGAGCAGAGTAAAATTTTATGACTACCTGCCTTAAAATATTTGTAAAAAGCCCAGTTCTCCCAAACCATAAAATGCAATATCCCTTATGAGAACCTGTTAGTACATCTTAGCAGCGCTGCTGAACGGAACTGGCACAAAAATAGCAACAGGAAAAATATGACTAAACCTTCCTCCTCCAGCTGTACCCTGCCTCCAATGGGTTATCCATCCTGCTCTCTGCCCTGACTGCTTTTTGGGTGTTTGCTTTGATCCTGTAGGGAATTACCGGCATCTTCTTTGTGGGACTTCAGAAATGTTTCATCAAAACTCAGCCTAAAGTCCTGCCTGAGACAACAGAGGCCAAGATCCCTGAGCTTGAGGTAGGTGAATGGAGCAGGGCTGCCTCTGCCCTGTGAAACCCTCTGCTCTCCCTGGCATCGGGGCTGCCATTCCTGCTGCCTTCCCAGAGATGTGCAATAAAGAAATAATGACTTGTGATCGCTTCATAAACTGATCTTATTTCAGAGGATTGCTTATGAAAACAAGTGAAAAGAGACGGGATTAGAAAGCAACAGACAAAAGCCTCTCAGCACAATACCAGAGATCAAGAACAATAATCCTGTTGTAGTCAAAAGGTCGTAAGGCAGCTCAGGATTAGCAGGCACCAAAAAGTCAATCAAATTGTTTTCTCCAAGATTTGAGCCTCATGTTTTCAAAGAGAATGAGGCAGAAATAAGAGATTTAAAAGAGCAGCCACGTTTAAGAAATGCAAATTGAGAAAACCCTTGGCATGCAGACCTGAGAGGTGGGAAGCACCAGGCTGGGGCCATTTCCTTGTCCTGCATGGGCCTCTGTCCCACTGATGTGCTGATTGCTTCCTGACACGTGTAACTGCCCTGCATCCTGCTGCAAGGAGCCTTGCATGCTGCATGGAAGAGTGTGGGCTCCATGACTGAGCCCCTCCCTGACGGTGGGACCTGCAGGGACAGCAGTGTCCTTTGTCCCCATCCCTGGGGGTGGCACAGGGGACAGCCTTCCCGCCTCCCCATTCACAGACTGAGTCCCCCCCAGGGAAGCTGCTGCAGATAAAACGCCAGCAGGACACGTGTTTGAAATGAAGCGTGGGCAGAAACATTTCCCTGAATCATGACCCAAATTCCCAGACACCGATTCTTTGATTATGCCCTAAGAAGCTCATAGATCTTCCCAGCTACCGTCGTAAAAGGGATATAACTTGCCAGGCTGTAGCAGAACATTGCCCCGGGTAGGGAGCTGAGATGTAAAAGCCAGTGAGATAAATGTAGATTTAAGCTCCAGTCATGTCTTCCTGGAGCCTGCACGCTGCCAGGTCCTGCAGGCAGCACCTCCCCGACCCTGCAGCTTCCACCAGGCTCCAACAATGACCCAGACTGGGTTGGCTCCTTCGTGTTGGCTCCTTCCTGTGACTTCCCAAAGCCGTAAGGAAAAACTCTATAAAAGAGATATACAGCTCTGGATGCCTTCTGGAGAGAAAAACACTCTTTGCCAGCTTGCTCTATGGGCTACCACCACCAACACAGAGAACGTTGCCTTGGCAGGGAGCTCACGCAGACCCATCCCATAATCTTTATATATCTCTCTCCCTAAGTGCCTGCCAAAACACACCATGGACTAATGCAACGGCAGAGACATGTGGTATAAATTACTGAACACAGCCGTGCAAGGAATTTCTGTGAGGAGTAAATTAAAGTGTTCGATCAAAAAATCAGCAGCAGAAGGAGAGAGGAATTAAATCCTAGGAGCAAAGTAGAGCAGAGGTGGTTTTTAATCTTGTGTTTTAAATTATTAGGGGGGCTACAGAAGGTTCTTACAGATAGTGAGGACTGGGCAGGAAAAGGGTCTTGGGTGATGAACTAAGAGAGGAGGGCAGGGTGGTGAGGGCAGTCGGGGTATTGCATGTGCATCCCGTGAGCACCACGAGCCAAGGCAGGTGAGGTGCAGCTGCTCCCTGGGAGGGCAGAGGTGCCTCTAAGCCAAGGGCAGGAGAAGCAGCCAGTGCTGGGAGCAGGTGTCTCACCACACCAGGGTAATGTCCTGCTCTTCTTCCAGGGACAGGAAATCACCACCACCTACTTTGAGCAGTCTGTGGTCTGGGTGCCTGGGGAAAAGCCCATTCAGAACAAGGAGTTCCTGAGGAGCTCCAAAATCTTTGACATCTGCAAAAACGTGACCATCTTCTGGATCCACCCCGCGCCAATAGCAGGTACAAGGAGCCATCTCCTCCCCAAGGGCCCTGCCTGTGGCCCCTGCCATGCCCCCTCTGTGCCATGCTGGGAGCCCACTTTCACAGCCTCGGGTACATCTCAGGCATGAGCTCCACAGGAGATCCTGGCCAGTGTAATAGCAGGGGCTGAAGATTCTCTGCACAAAGCACTTGTTTCTGCCAGCTCCCCGCCGCCCTGCACTTTGCAGAGTGGCCACCCTCCTCATAACAAGGGAGAGAAAAAAAAAAATAATCCCTTGTACCTGCAAAGAAAGCAGCGCTGCTGGAAACTGGGACGCCTAAATCCTCGTCACCACATGAAGATCAGAGTGTGAGCAGACATCTGCATCTAAATCACACGGCGGGGTTGCCACCTCCAGCTGCTCACTGCACAGCCCTCGCAGAGGTTGTGGCCTCTGAGATGTGCTGCTGTAATTACCTGCTCTCTCTAACCCACTTCCAGCCCAATGAGGCAGTTTAAAAGTCCCTGCTGAGCAAACTCCCTCTGCTCTGCAGCCACGGAGGCACATGGCATGGATCACAGGTACAGGCCAGCTCACCTGTGCTCTGGAGGGCAGCAGGGCACCCCAGCTCCCTGGTGCAGAGGGAGGCTGGTGTCCCCAGGTGCTGTCCCCTTTCTGCTTCCTTGTCCCTGCTGTTGGGCCCCCTTGCAGCGGTGTCCTGGCTCAGTGAGTGCACCAAGGTGCATCCAAAGCCTTTGCCAGGACAGCAGTGCCCAAGGCTGCCTGGCACCATCCCTAGCAGAGGAAATTATTGCTGCTGTGGTTCTTTCCTAAGCTAAGAGAGCTGAAGCTGGGCATGAGCTGCCCCAGATCATGTTGCTCTGATGGGGCTCTACAAATCCACCCCTCAGCAGCAGAGCCCAGCAGGAGGATGTGCTTCAGCACACCCGCAGCCCCACGCAGGAGATGGGCACTCTCACCCGTGGGCATGGGGATGGATGGGCCATTGTCTCCCTCAGCCCTGCCCAGGCTGGGTGACAGCAGGAGGCAATGGAGCACTGCTTTGCAGTGGGCTTTTTGTGTACCCTGGCACCAAATTCTGGTAGAGACATTCATTCTTGCTGCTGCATTTGTCCCCTGCTCCGTGGTTATTGACAGCGACATTTGGACTCTCCCTGTAGCTCCTGAGCTGGCCAACCTTGAAGGGGCAGAAGAAGAAGAGCCTGAGCTGCAGATGGACAGCCAGAGCTGGCTGGACGAGGGGAATGAACACAAGGAGCTGGAGGAGAGCACACGGGCAGGGCCCAAGCGTCGGGCACGGCAGCTCACCGAGGAGGATCTGCCCGTCAATGACTACGTGAGTGAGAGAATCCCATCCTGGGCTGCCCTGCCTGAGTGAGTCAGTGAGTGAGTGAGTGAGCGAGTGAGCGAGTGAGTGAGTGAGTGAGTCCCACCCTGGGCTGCGCTGCCCACCGTGTGCCCCAG